TTTAGCACGACTTGATTCCATTAGGGCTCAAGAACACGGTTGCTACTTATCAATGACTCATGGATGTAGTTTTCTGAGGACATCATCATGACGACTTAAAGGAAACCTTGGATTCAATCAGGAAATACAACATGCACCTCAACCCGAATAAACTCTCCTTTGGGGTCCAAGCGGGGAAGTTATTAGGTTTCATATTAAACCAAACGGGAATCGAGGCCAACCCGGATAAATGTCAATCCATAATCAACATGAGGAGTCTGACTTTACTGAAGGAAGTCCAACAACTGGCGGGCATGATAACTGCTTTATCAAGGTTCATGTCTTGCTCTAGAGACAAGTCAATTCATTTATTCTCAGCACTCAGAAAGGCAAAGAATTTCCAAATGGACCAAAGAATGTGAGAGGGCCTTCGAGGAGCTTATAAATTTCTTATCATCACCACCCATTTTGGTTTGGCTGTAGAAAAGACACCCTTTGCTTTTGTATTTTTCAGTTTCTGAGAAAGCTATAAGTTCAATCTTGGTGCAGGAAGGGAAAAATAGAGAAGGACCTATATACTTTGCTAGCAAGGTAATGAAAGGAGTTGAGCTCAGATATCGAAAAATCGAAAAATTTGCTCTGGCCGTGGTGGTCACTGCTAGGAAGCTAAGACCATACTTCCAAGGACATACCGTAATAGTAAAGACAAACTACCCGATGAAGTAGATACTAAAAAAACCTGACGTAGTAGGTAGAATGATGCCATGGGTGGTGGAGTTATCCAAATTCAATGTATCATTCTCTCAGAGAAGTGCCATCAAATCACAATTCTTCGCAGATTTCTTGGTAGAGTTTAGTACCCCCGATGAGGAGGGACCCCCTATGCCTCTTGTTTTTATATGTGCACAGATCATCCAACCTTAAAGGAAGCGAAGCCAATATCATTTTGGAGCGGCCAGTTGAATTATTATTGGAATAATCGTTATGTTTCAATTTCCAGGCAAATAATAACCAGGTGGAATATGAAGCCCTATTGGCCAGAATTAAATTAGACCAAGAAGTAAGAGCAACCAATCTACAAGTAAAAAGCGACTCTCATCTAGTTACCAATAAGGTAGAGGGAAAGTAGCAGACCAAGGATCTAGGCTTGTCAAAATACTTGAATATCGTCCAGGAAATGGTCAGAGGATTCCAATCTTTTGAAATAAAACACATTCCCTATGAGGGATGACCTTGGCAGGAAAGATTCTTATAGACGACTACTATTGCCGGATGTACAGAGGGATAACGTCCATTTTGTAGAACAATGCGAGAAATGCCAGATATACTCGCCTTTCATACACTCCCCTGCTAACTTACTAAAATCTATTATCTCTTTGTGGCCCTTTTTTCAGGAAGGAGTCGAAATCCTGGGCCCCTTTCCTTTGGCTCCAGGACAACTAAAATTCTTTATTGTATGGGTGGATTACTTTAAGAAGTGGATTGAAGCTGAAGTGGTGGCTTGAATCGCGACACAGAGGTTACTTTTGTTTCTATTGGAAAAACATCATTTGTCGTTTCAGACTTCCACAGGTTATCATCTTTGATAACGACACCCAATTCTCCAGCTCTGTAGTAGTCGAGTTCTGTTTAAATTTGGGGATCCATAACAAGTTTACCTCGGTCGAGCACCTTCAGACAAATTGGCAATCTGAAGCCGCCAAAAAAGTAAGCAGGCATGAAGAAGAAGTTGGATGAAGCCAAAGGTTTATGGGTCGAGCAACAGCATAAAGTCATATGGTCGTACCATACTACCCCATACTCCACCACTAAGGAAACTTCATTTAGGATGGTTTACAATTCCGATTCCATGTTACCGATTGAGATCAACATTCTGATGTGGCAGAGGGCCCATTATGACAATAAGGACAACTAAGTTGGCCTCCGAGCTGACACCGACCTGCATGATGAAATTCGAGAAATGGCTCGCCTCCAGGAGTATGCCTCTAAATAGAGGACAAAAAGACGTTTCAACACCAAAGTCAGGCCGATAACGATCATAGGTGGGGGCATGGTTCTACGTAAAATTACTGATCCAATAAAGAAAGGGAAATTGAAGCCAAATTGGGAAGGTCCTTTCCGAGTAAGACATGAATTATCACATGGTGCCTACAAACTAGAGCATCTAGAAGGAACTAAAGTACCTCGAACCTAGAACTCGTACAATCTAAGATATTATTCTAGTTAAATAATTGTTTGTTTTTCATTGTAACTTTCACTTTTTGTTGATGAAATAAAATGAATAAAAATCAACTAGAGATGCACTCTTTCCCCTACAAGGGTAGGGTTTTTAATGAGGCACTCCTAGTCTTTCAAATAAATTTTGACATGCCATATACGCAGACCTCTATCAAGGCACCTGCTACAAAACATCGCGAACTTATAAAGAGCTCTCTGGCCGCGTCAACACCCGTCAAATTTCTCTAAACTCCCACCACGAACTCACAAAGAGCTCTCCGGCCATGTCAATGCCCATCAAAGCACTCTGAACGTCTGTCACGAACTCACAAAGAGCTTTTTGTCCACGTCAACACCCATCAAAGTGCTCTGAACACCCGCTGTAAACTCTTAAGAGCTCTCTGGCCACGTAAACACCCATCAGGATGCTCTGAATGTTCGCTGCAAATTCGTCAAACACTTCAGTATCACTCCCTTGAATGACTCTCAGTGCCTAGGACATCCAACATATTCAAGCGTACTACAATCCCAGAAAACCTAGGATATAAAATGCAAATAGAATCAACACTTATAAAACCCTTAAGGGCCAGTGGGCTATAAATCTAAGAGAACCATACGTTACAACGAAATCAAAAATAGTAGTAAAGTTAATTATGATAAAAAGAAAGATTATGGGCAGTGCGAACAAATGTAAACCAAAGTCATTACAACCAAAAAGAGCATGCCAGGCTCATAACAAAAAGGTGACAAATATTACACTAGAGTTACAGACAAAATAAGTTATGCATCTTCGGGAGGGTTCTAAGTCAAGGTCTCTTCGGTTGAAGTCTTCGTTGCAACATCTTTACCATGGGAAAGAAGAAGATCAACACGAGCCTCCAACTACGGAGTGGTATCCATACCCTCTTCCATTACGAGATGCCCATCCCGAATTATGCCAAAAGCATCACACACTATCTCAAATGACCTTACAAATCCCTAACAGTTAGGATGAAGCTAGGAAGAAGCAATGTTTATGGCGGTGAACATATCCGCCTCGAACTCACTAAAAGGAATGCCGACCCGAAGGGTCTCCAGCACGTCCTTATAAAAATAGAAGAACTCATTGGGAGACCCGGAGGGGAGATACCTACAAACATTCTCATCTGGGACACACGACTCCAATATGACATCATCCTCTTCACTAGTGTTAGAAATGTAGAGACCTTCCATAAACTATTTAACATACTGCTCACCTAAATACATCGAGTCGAACTTCAAGACCACCAGATTAAATGAGGCACGAGAAAGCTCTATGGTGACCTCAACCAAACATGAGGAAGAAAATACTAAGTCAGACTCACTAGAGAATGAAAGGTCGATGAAATCATCATATATTTCCTTAGTTATAAGCCCTTAATCGATTTTACCCGTTTTTGACCTAAAAGTTTTTACATACTCACCCCATAATCAATGTCGCTCCAAGGAAGTTGCAGAAGCCACTGCTTAACCCGTTTCATCACACTCACAGATAACTACCACGGTAATGTAAACAACGGAAAAATTAAACAAATAAAAGTGAAGGGATGAAGTTACCTAGAAAAATTTGGAGAGAAGGAGTTTTGTGGTTGGCAAGAGTATGAAGCTAGAAGAGAGAAAAGGCAAAGAAACTTTGGAACAAAATATTTTTTGACGGAGAAAAGGTAACTTAAAAACTTTTTCAAAAGTTGTGGCTAGGTGAACAATTACTACTCCCTAGAATTAAATGATGACACATGCATCCCATTAATAATCATCATTACTAAAAACGTTTTAGAACAGTAAAAAACTTAGCGATACGTCATCAGACACATGGCAGAAAGAGAAACAACCAACATCGTTTGAAATTTCAGTTGTCATTGGAGATTGCATCCTGATTTTAATCCACTACCCAATCGAATGCGCATTCCAAACCGCCAAAAAGACTTAAGCGCTCCGTCCTTACCAGACCTCACGCTTGGGGGGCTTATGTACACCTGAGATGTATATTTTGGATAAACTATCAAACCGCCCATATTCGAATTGGTTTGACATATTAGGATAAGCTCGAGTGCACAAAGCCCAGACACGTCCAAGCCGCCTAATCCAAGTCGACATTTAAAGCCAAAAACAGAATATTCATGACATTCAATATCTTTTATGGTCTCAAAGCGATAAAGAAACCACGACTATAATAACCATAAAGACGATTTAATTATTCCATTAAAGACCATACATTATAAATACACGACTCCAAAAGGATAAAAGAACAAACAATCCTAAAACATAAATCTTAGTAACACTGCAACTTTTATATATATGAGTATTAAATAAATAAAAAATGTGTTTTGTGTTTGAATATAGCCATGAGCATGAGAATATATGAAATACTAAAAGTCTTAAAGAAAATTATGAATGAATGTAATGCAAGAGAAAATATAGAAACAAAAATAGACGTTGAATAGAAGTTGAAAAATGGCAAATAGAAATATCCTCTCCTTCGCATGTGAGAAAACTGCCAAACCAAAAAACAAAGCGTCAAAATAGTGACACGTAAGAATTATTGTATGAGTCAGCACTAGTCTCCATCCTTTAACAAGAAAGGCCGCACCAGAAAAAGCGGGAACTCCACATGAATTACCATTCCCAGATATTTCAATTCCCAATTCCCAATGCACACAAACAATTCAACACATTATCACCATGATAACAAAGGATAAAGATCCTTCTTTCTTCTCTCTCTAATTCTCCATTCTTTTTCTTTTTTTTTAAAGATAAATTCAGTTTTTGCGGTTACTTTTCTGAAAATGGAACAGAAAGGTTTGTTGTTATCAGCGCTTAGCGTTGGTGTTGGAGTTGGAGTCGGCCTTGGTTTGGCTTCTGGACAAACCAAATGGGGAGCTAATACTTCTGCCTCCAACGCCATCACGCCGGAGAAAATCGAACACGAAATGCTTCGACTTGTTGTTGATGGAAGAGAAAGCAATGTCACTTTTGACAATTTCCCTTATTATCTCAGGTTTTTACTTTCATTCCTTTTTCCTAATTTCCAATGTTACATGTATTTTATTTGATTATTACTTTATTAAATTGTATTATAGCGCATTGTATTTGTTTTTTTTTTTTTGGTAATTAGCGGCATTGTATTTGTTTAGTTTCTTCAAAATTTGTATTAATAGTCATAGGTTTTAAATTTCTATCGGTACGTGTATTAAGATACTGATTGTGTTGTCGCAGGGTGAATTAATTATAATTTATTCTTATCACATAAAAACTGTGAATAACGGTATCTGTATCAGTAGGTGCCGATGCCATTTTGTCGTGGCCGTTTTAGTGCGTACCGTTTTTTATCACAATGTCATTTCCTATTTTTTTTATTCATTGGACTGTTGGTATGGTAATGTTATGTATTAGTATTCATATAAATGAAAATTCAGTGGTTAGGTGTTCTTAAATCTTAAGTATATGCCCAGTTTTGCAAATTTTTGAATTTCAGATGCTTTGACATTTTCTGATGCTGCTACTTTTTTTATTTTTAAAAATGGTTCAATTTAATCTTGGTTCTGATATATGATCTTTTTCGTTGTATATATGATGACAGTGAGAAGACAAGGGTGTTGCTGACAAGTGCTGCCTATGTCCATTTAAAGCATGCAGAGGTTTCTAAATATACACGGAATCTCGCACCTGCAAGCCGGACTATTCTGCTCTCAGGGCCAGCCGGTTTGTTTAAATAGACTATTTTACGAGGACGATGGATTGATGAGTTTTTATATTTCTAATGATTCCTTTGGCTAATTCAAAAGTTTTCTATTTCATGTCTTGCAGAGCTTTACCAACAGGTGCTTGCCAAGGCTTTAGCTCACTACTTTGAGGCCAAGTTGCTTCTGTTCGATGTAACTGACTTTTCTTTGAAGGTGAGTGGAAATAGTTTTGGTGTCGTTTAAAGCTTTCTCTGGTTGGTTATGTACATAATGGTTGGTTTGTCATCTTTGTAGATTCAAAGTAGATATGGCTCTTCCAACAACGAAATTGTAAGCTTTTCCTATTTTATCTCGTATTGCTTTTCATTCTAAGCACCGTATAATTACAGTGTTCTTTCTTGACCTAACATTCTGGCTACCGGTGTTTTTTTTCCATTGTTTCTGATTGTAGTCTTTCAAAAGATCTACTTCGGACACAACTTTAGCTCGGTTATCTGACCTATTTGGTTCGTTTTCAATCTTTCCACCGAGAGAAGAGACTAGAGGTACAAATCGACAAGCATTTTCTACTCAGTGTGGAGAACTTTTTTCATAATAAAATTATGCTCAATTAATCTTGTAATACACAAATATTCTATCTTGTTTGAGTTTCATGAATAAGTTTTATATATTGTTACAAGAAAATTTTTACTAATGATAATTTCTACTTGATGAAGTCATTTTGCCTAAGGTTATTATAGGCTCTAGATTCTAGATAGGTACAAGTAGCTTTAGCTTTTATCAATTTCTAATATATGCTGATTGCCTCACTCTGTATCGGTACATAAGCACTCTCTTTGAAGCACAATTTTGTAATTAAACAGCTTATAAAATCATATCCCTGACTTGAAACTTTTAGTTGCAGGTAGAATGAAAAAGCAACACAGTGGCGTAGACCTTAAACGAATGTAACAAGACTAGATCATTATCAGTTAACTATGAGAATATATTTATTTTCCTTCCAGTATATTTATATAATAATATTCGAAAATTTTCCCTTGTTTATGCAGGGAGGCGGAAGGAACTTATACTCCTAATAAACTTCGTAGGAATGCATCAGCCTCTGCAAATATTAGCAGCCTTGGTTCGCAAAGCAATTCTACAAGCTCAGGTTGCTTCAATAAATCATTTTAAAAGATCAATTAGGATTGTGTTTTTTCTTGATTTAATTGTCACTAGTACCACTTGATTTAATAATGATTTCTCCCCTCCCAATTATTTTTATAAAAAATGACGATTTCTAATGTGGCCCCACAATTTGATAGTTTATAGAATTAGTTTAGCACGTATGTTAGATTCATAATCTTTTTGAATGAGAACTAATACAAATTAAGTCAAACTCCTTGTTTCTGTACACTGTTTACTCTTCTGATTCCCCGTATTTTTCAATATTCCTTCAGCTCCCGGGAAGCACATGGCCAACTGGTCTTTTGATGAAAAGCTTCTTATACAGACTCTTTACAAGGTATTGCTACTTTTGATAATATGACATATTTCAGCATCAGCGCAATAACATGTTTTGGATTGGAAGGCTTTAGATATCCACAAAAGACATTGATTTGACGAGTGGAAAATTCACTTGCAGGCTCTAGTTTATGTGTCAAAAACCTATCCCATTGTTCTATATCTGCGGGATGTTGATAAGCTGTTGTGTAGATCACAGAGGATATGTAAACTATTCCAGACAATGTTAACGAAATTATCCGGACCGATTTTGATTCTTGGTTCAAGGGTTTTGGATTCTGGTAATGAATGCGAAGAAGTGGATGAGATGCTTAGCCCCCTCTTCCCTTACAACATAGAAATCAGCCCACCAGAAGATGAGTCTCGTCTTGTCAGCTGGAAGTCTCAATTTGAAGCAGATATGAAGAGGATACAGATTCAGGATAACAAGAACCATATCATGGAAGTGCTTGCAGCCAATGATCTTGATTGTCATGACCTGGATTCCATCTGTGTAGCAGACACAATGGTTCTCAGTAACTATATAGAAGAGATTGTTGTGTCAGCAATTTCCTATCATTTAATGAATAACAAAGAGCCTGAATACAGAAATGGGAAACTGGTTATTCCATGCAATAGGTGTGACTGGTAACTTTAACTCTGCATTAACTATTATACTTTGATGTACTTACTTTATTGTTTTTGAAATAGCTTGTCCCATGCTCTGGGTATATTCCACGAGGGAAAACTCAGTGGAAGAGATACATTAAAACTAGAAGCTCAAGCAGTTACATCTGAGGTTGTTCATTCTTGTCGCGATTGTGGTATTCATTTAATTGCGAATAATATCTAACAGGTACTGATATGATATGTGTCCTTTTTGTCTCTATATGCGTCATACTGATTAAAGCAGAGAGAGGAAGGAGCTGTTGTGAAACCAGAAGAAAAGTCTGAAAATCCTGCTCCTGGTATAAAGACTGAAAATCCTGCTCCTGGTGTAAAGACCGAAACAGAAATACTAACTTCGGTGGGCAAAACTGATGGTGAAAATTCCGTTCCTGCAACCAAAGCTGTAGGCCTTCTCTTTTTTTTACCGTTCAATAGATTATGATATAATTTTAATAATATTGAAATCATGCCGCAATTGGCTTATTCAAACACAACAACCTCATCTCTTGCAGGAAGTTCCTCCTGATAATGAGTTTGAGAAGCGAATAAGGCCTGAAGTAATACCAGCAAATGAAATTGGGGTAACATTCTCCGATATTGGTGCCTTAGAAGAGACTAAAGAGTCACTTCAAGAACTAGTAATGCTTCCCCTTCGAAGGCCAGACCTTTTTGATGGGGGCCTTTTAAAGCCTTGTAGAGGAATATTGCTATTTGGGCCGCCTGGAACAGGAAAAACAATGCTGGCAAAGGCCATTGCAAACGAGGCTGGAGCAAGTTTCATTAATGTATCCATGTCTACCATCACCTCTAAATGGTTTGGTGAAGATGAGAAGAATGTTCGTGCTTTATTCACACTAGCAGCCAAGGTCTCCCCAACTATTATATTTGTTGATGAGGTGGATAGTATGCTTGGGCAGCGGACAAGAGTCGGGGAACATGAAGCCATGCGGAAAATAAAGAATGAATTTATGACCAATTGGGATGGACTTACCTCAAAACCGTCGGATCGCATCCTTGTCCTGGCTGCAACCAATAGGCCCTTTGACTTGGATGAGGCAATTATTAGACGATTTGAAAGGAGGTACCTCTACTAGTTCTACATTTTCAATGAATTTCACATGCTCTTTCTTAATACCTGGAGAGTGCTAGCAATATGCTCTCTACCACACTACTCCAACCATTCTCTGCTATTAGTTTGAGTTCATGTGGATTTTACTGAATCACGTGGACCTGTTTTTTATAATTTTTTGTTGTATTTGTAAATTGTGGGGAAAAAACACATAAGATATCAAATTAAAAGTATATTGCTTTGATGGCATGTTTGTGGGTGCACAACAACAACAACAATCTGAATACCCTTATATTCAATAGTATTTTGATTGTTTTTACTTAATATATCATTCATCTTTGGCTATCAGGATTATGGTTGCATTACCATCTGTGGCGAACAGGGAAAATATATTGAGGACCCTTTTGGCTAAAGAGAAGGTGGACAATAGACTTGATTTTAAGGAAATCGCAACTATGACAGAAGGATACAGCGGAAGCGATCTAAAGGTTTTTCTCTATTATTGTTTTCCTGTGGACGTAACTTGACTATTGTGTTACAACTTACAGATGCTTTTGTTATTTTGAGTTTCTGATTAACATGTTTTCTATTTTCATTAATTGGTAAATACAGAACTTATGCACAACCGCTGCTTATAGACCTGTTAGAGAGTTAATTCAGCAAGAGTTAAAAAAGGATTCGGTAAATTGGCATTTTCTTTAAAGATTTAATATAATGCTTTGGTTATATGATGATCATGCTGACTGCTATATTTAATTTCGGCAGGAGAAAAAGAAGAAAGATGCCGAAGGAAAAAATAGCCAAGATGTTCATGATGCAGAGGAGGAAGTTAAACAGGAAAGAGTTATTACCCTTAGGCCTTTGAATATGGAGGACTTCAAAGTGGCAAAGAATCAGGTAAAATTTCTTGGGATTCTTTTATCTTTAATTCTCCGGCATTGATCATCTTTAATGATGCAATTCACTTTGGGTTCTTATCTGGCCATTAGGCAGATCTTATTATGCCAAGTCACTTTTAAGATTTCTATATTTTCTCTAATATTGCAACTTTTCTCATTGTTTCCCGGCAACTCTTCTTACTTTTTACTTCAATGATTGAGATTTGATGGTGCAATTTTTATTTTTAACAAAGTTTCTTAATGCAAAGACAGTCCTTAAACAATTATTTGTGCCACGTAAACATGTTCCAATGATGAAGCTGAAACATGATAGCAGTTAGTTAAACTTAAGATCTCAACAAAAGCAAATGACGTGTTGCTTGTTGGGGATGTTGAGGCCTTAGGTTTCTTTTGCATTTAATATGTATAGAAGATGTCGCTTAGTTTGAGTGCCTAATTGGAATGCAGGTTGCCGCAAGCTTTGCAGCTGAAGGGGCTGGAATGAATGACTTGAAGCAGTGGAATGACCTTTATGGGGAAGGTGGTTCAAGGAAGAAAGAACAATTATCTTATTTCCTATGAAAAAAAATACTCGTAGTTGCATCTTTCTGGTTGGACTTTGTGAGTGTCTCATTATAGGCCTTTTGCGCCAAAGAGACTTTCATAGGACAATCAGTAGTTTGCCAGATATATATAGTGTAGTTTGTCACTGATATATACTCAACGAAATATAAGCAAAAATAGGTTAAAGAGAGTTCATGTTTGATCCAAATTTGAATCAAATAGTTCAACTTTGACTATTTTCATTTATATTTTGTAAGAAAGAATATAATTTTAAGTGTGTATAGTTTTTCAGTAGTATTTTTTTGGCTTCATACTTGAGCATTTTGCTCAAGTTTGAGATTTTTGCCCGTAGGCTATAATAGTGTAAATTGTGTTGTATTATAACTATTACCTATCTACCCAGCCTCTTAAACAAGAAAGATCAGTTCCTACTATGTACACAATATAATACAGGTATTATAGTGCAAGTTAGAAAATTCAATATTAATAAAGTTCTGATGGAAATTAATCCAATTCTCTTTTGTTCTCTACTAATCAAAATATTAGAGAGACATTTATCCATTTTCTATTTCCTAATAGCATCCCTCTTTAGTAAATGACTCAATTATAATTAGATAGTTTCTACAAATTTTGCTTATAAAAAAAAGAAGATAGTTTTAACAAAATAGTTAAAAGACTTTCACCAGTAAGATTACTATTAGAGAATTTCTTATGGTACCCAATATAGGGGAAAAAATACTTATGGAAAATTTAAAATATCCTCTTCGGAAATGTATTTTTGGGACGCATTTTCTTTTTGAAAAATCAAATATGAAATCGAAAATGCAACTATGATTTGGAATCGGATATGCATATCCGATTTTTGTACAGACAGTTCAGACTATGCTTTTATGCAGGTTTTGGTGCATAAATACGTAGTAAAATATATAGTAAAATATAATGTCGATTAGATACGAAGTAATCACAAAATACGTACAAATGTTCATAAATATTATGTTCCAAAATATGATATGTAAAATATTCTTTAAAGTGTTATCCAAATAATCCAAAATATGAAAAACATAATAGTAGTATAAACAAAATGCAATTAAAACTATCAGACTACTGAGTATGACGGATAATGAGTTGGCCTGTGATATTTGCGACATTCCTCCGCTGTCGCCTGTAACACATAGCCTCCTCAGCCTCCGCCATTATGACATCTAGAACACCTAACATCAGAGCCATCAGGAAACAGACCCCTATCAATATCCGCCTGCGCGATCTGCATGATACGACGACACCTAGGCAACACATCAGTGGCATGATCGGTCTATGTCTGCTCCTCCTCTAGAATCTCCGCATGTGCTGGTCTAGGTGGGTTACATGGAGCCTCTTGTACCAGATATGAATGTGACACTTTGAAGAACCATAAGATATATACATCCTCATAGTTCCAATCTTTTACTGTTATGGTACTCCGGACCTCATCCGATACGAGAAGGTTAAGATAATCATCAAATATGTCATCCATATCCCTCCGTTTCACCATGGGAGGGGCACACTCAGAGGGTGGGTGATCTGGGAATGTGTTGTATGTATCTGAACTGCCGCATCACGCGCTCAGATAAATAAGCAGTCATCTTGCGCGCTCCACATGCCAACCACCCAGTGAACAACACAATATCGTCAAAGGGAATCGTCTCACGATGAGTCACATATGCATGGAAGCATATATCCTCATAGGACAGGCGGTCTATATACACCCTGAATAGCTGTGTCTCCTGGTTCCCTCGGAGTGGGTCGAATGAAGCGACACATGGATAAACCTCAGTATATGTAGGCTCAAGTGACCATTCGGATATGTAAGGGAAGTGTTGTAGAATACATGCCTGAAATGTTACCGTCATTAGTAAGTAACGACATCAAAGTAATAGACAAAAATAACATAAGAATAAGAAATGTTACCGTAAAAAGTGTGATGCTGCCTGGCATCTGTTTCGTATTCCACTTAGCACCTTCAGACAGCTTATGGTACAAATACACCAAAAAATCCGCCCCTAGTTCCACTCAATGATCCACTGATAATCGTTAAAGACCAGTAGGTACATGATATCAGTGTAAGTGACACTAGTGTCCATAAAAATCTGCGTGCCAACCAGATACAAAAGATATGTCCTCATAGCACATGCCCTAGACTACCTGCAGATCATCACCAGCAGTCTGTCGTACACGCCCTAGCTCAGCTGTGAACACCTTCTGCAAGTAGAAAATCTGACACGACACCCACGTGTTTTTTCGATCTTAACCATAACACCCTCTGGAGTAACTCCTATGTACTCCACCAACATATCCCGTGCCTCCTATTTGGTGTACCTCTCATGATCTAAAAACCTCACTTTAATCGGAAGGTGTAACCGATACTGTCATCTCACCATGTGGTAGGTGGAATGAAGATGTCTCGTGATGCCATCTCTCAACAAAAGTGTTAATCATACCATGATTAACGGTAGTATATCCATATAAGACCAAATCATGCAGCCCAATGATGTGCAACAGCTCCCGGAATCATGACTCAGCGGGTGATACCTAGGGATGACAACAGGTCGGGTCTGGTGCAGGTTTCACACTACCCAAAACCGCACCCGAAATCACCATCCGAATCCAAACCCAAACCCAAAGGCTATTCAAGCGGCAAAGTAACGCCCACACCCACACCCGTTGGATTCATATTTTTCCACCCAAACCCGAACTCGCAGCAAAAACACAAAAATACAACAACAACATTGAAATTTGAAACACAAGAATTCCATCAAGGTCTCTCAAAGAAATTAAAGAACTAAATTACAATTTTCCATCAAGTTTGATAACCTTACAATTAAAATTAAGGTCTTAAATTTTTACACTTTTATATATTTAGAGGTACTTATATAATTTAATGTCTAAGCGAGTGTGGTTTCAGGTTTTGGGTGCAGGTTTGAGTGAATCTAAATCCGCACCCGAAATATCGGGTGGTACCCGAACCTGAATCTATTTAACTCAGGTTTTCACCCATTGACTCAGGTTCGGGTGCATGTGGCTCCCACAGGTTTGGGTCTGCCTGCCATCCCTAGTGGTACCAGGCGACTGATCTTCCTAGTATGGTTAATTATCTTGAGTGGATCGCGGTCCTCCATGCATAGATAAACACCCAAGACTTAAATGAATACAATACTTAGCAAAAAAAAAGGTAACACAAGACGTAACAATTTTTAAATGAAATATTTACCTCTCTATCCCATAAGTGTCTGGCAACATGATTTGGATATAACGACAGTAATGACAAATCAGTAGGTCCTCCTCTAAAGGCCTGGGGCGCCTCTAGTGTCGCCTCTGGTGCTGCTGCCTCTGGTGTTTCCTCTAGTGTAGGTTGTGGATGGGCCTCTGATGCAGGTTGTAGATGGACCACCAGTGCAGTCTGGTGGCCTCTGTTGTTTGCTGAATGGGAACCGGTGTAGACTGGGTAGGAGCAGGTGTCGGCTGGAATGAAGAAGACTCTCCTGTCTCAAAAACCATAGGGCGTCCGTGGGAGGAAGGAGGTGGAGAGGTATGGGTTGAATATGGTGTAGTCTGCGGGTGAGAACCAGATGTCTCTCCTGGTCTGGATACTTGCGGTGAGGATGTACGTCTGCGGGATGACGGAGGCAGAGATGGATGTACAGGAGACTCTCGCCTGCTGGTCGACAGAGTGGAAGTAGAAACACCATCAGCAATGGGCGCATTCGACACAACCTGCCTAGGAGCCTGAAAAGCCCGAGTCCTTTCCCTACGCACGAAAGCAATGATGTGAAAGTCTCCCATGTCACAATATGGATTGCCTCTCACTCATAATATATGTAGAATAAACGAATCAAGTATTAAACAATAACACTCTTGTACAAAAATAGGGAAAAAATTGTCTGATGCATAACCGGAAGTATACTTCCAGTTTTGGCCAAGAACAAAATCAAAAATACACTTCCAGTACGACCTGCAACTTAACAGGTACGCCAATGACGAAGCTGACGCCCAATTGGGACCAAAAAATAGGCATTGATCGTCAAAAAGACATGACTAACACTTCCGTATTGACTTCAAATATTGAAAGAACTAAAAAAAACTACATTTTACTACCCAAAACACAATTTGTATGTAAAAAAAAACTCAATAATGCTCAAAAACAACTTATAACAATTTATTCTACTTGGTTGATTCTGATTATGCTTGATGATTTTCTTATGTGTTGCGATAAATTGATGGGTTTTGAAACAATGAGTATTTTGGAACAATGAGATTTTGAGAGGTTTTGTTTTGTTTGTGTTTGCAGCAAATGAGAAAGGGGAAGAGGTGGCGCAAATATATGTCAAAATACAAACTGAAAATACACTTACGAGATGAAACCGATGTTGTATTTCCGATTCGTATCAACGTGGTAGAGTATGGATACTCACAGTGTTATTATTAAGTTCATTCAGAGTGTAATTGGAAATACAACATCGGTTTGGAAACCGTAAGTGTAGTTTCTGATTTGTATGTTTTTTTTTATAATAGAATATATATCAGAGATACATTTCCAATTCTTAAAAACATTTTTGGAAATTCACGCTGATGCCTAAAAAACACTTAAAATATATTAAAAAATTCTCTTACTATTATACAAAACCTTCACCATTACCTGGTTTTTGTCTCAAATTAAGTGCAGAAGACAAGGAGTTATTGGCAATTATAGCCCGAGGCATAAGATGTACTGTAATTCTCTTTCCATTGAAAAGCCTAAAGTTCAAGAGAGAAGAAAAAGCTTTATCAAACACTTCTCTTTTATAAAAGTAAAAATAGAATGGAAACTTTTAGGATAGTTCTAATTTCAATCATTTATGTACCGAGTCCCGAAACATATGAGAGTTGGCTCACGAGGGAGCACTAAATTACCGTGAGCCATCATTTTGAATTAAGTGGTTAAATTAAGAAGAACCACGTTTGTATTTTTGATAGTCAAATCTTGAATTTTTTTTTGTAATAAT